AAAAAAAAAAAAAACAACAAAAAAAAAAACATTAAAAAAAATAAAAGTAATTGGTTAAAAAAAGTTGTAGACATGACACTTTATTCTTTAATACTTTGCACGGTATTACCTAAGAATAAAGACTTTCCCCCATATTTTCAGAATACTGTTATCTGTAAGAAAACTATCAAGAATTCAGTATCATCTAATGAACAGTGTCTTAACATTCGCCTAGGTTTTCCCCAAAGTCTTACACTTTTGTTTTGAATATCCATGTCTCAGTCAAGATTTGGTTATTGTATTTTGTTGTCATGTGTAGTCTTTGTTAATCTAGAACATTCTTCCCAGTGAGCTTCAAAGAGAGAGCTTCGAGAGAGAGTGCTCCAGTGAGTCGTGACCCTTGAGCCCCAAACTTCCAACAGATGTCCACCAGCTGGTCCAGCTCAGGGCAACTGCACTCGGACATGTCCCGGCAGCTCAACGTGGCTCCAGTTCATTAACCGCCAGGAGCTGGATGGACCATGTTGTCAGGTGCTTCTTCACAAATCTTAAACTGGAGCACCCCTGCAGCCTTGCTGTACACGTGCTTTGCCCGCTGGTGGAGTTTGAAGATGAGCACGTCTTGAGTGTTCAGGCTTAGAATTTGGGTTCAAAGCTCCTGTAGGCTAATTCCCAGACATCTGTAGACCTCTTCAGGGCTATGGGGTTCAAGGTGAAGAACATCTTCTGTGATCCTCAGCATTTCTTCCAGACTCACCCTTAGTTTGGCCTATACCTCCTCTAGCTGCAGTATTTTATCCCATTTCAAGCCTTTGTACTTAGCCAGGAGCTTGGCCCAAAACTCCCAGTATGCAGAATGGTGCACTTGATGGCTGCTTCACAAGCTACCCTGAAAATTAAGTTCTTTTAAAAGACTGTGAATGGGAGAGAGGGGTTGGGGTGGGGAGAGAGAGAGAGAGAAGGAGAATCTTAAGCAGGCTCCACACTCAGCATGGATCCCACAACCCTGGGATCACGACCTGAGCTGGAATCAAGAGTCAAATGCTTAACCGACTGAGCCACCCAGGCGCCCCTGGAGTCTATATTTTTTAAAGAAGCAACAGTGGTAATTCTTATGATTCTCCCAAGATTTGGAACCAGACCATGCCCCATTTTGCTGTCACTCTCCCCCAACAAACACGTTCCCTAGATAGGAATCCTCTGAAAG